TAAATATATATTTTTTTTACTCTTTACTCTAATAAATTTTTTATATTACAATTATTGAAAGTAATTCTATGTTACGTCATATGTCGTCATATATTACTATAGTAGTAATACTGCAGTAGCAGTGACACTGTAGTATTTTTATATTTCCAAATGATATTGGAAACTTGTATGATAAACCAACATTTAAATTTTATTAATTTAAAAATCGAGATCATTTTGATATCGATTCAAACTAGAATTAGTCCAGCTAGACTTTGATAGAGTCGATGACTATTTTTCCTTGATTTTGTGCTCATTTACGATAAGAGACAGCTGATAGGTTGTCAGTATTTATTAAGAGACATTATTTCTTGAAATTCCTCAAAAAATGATGTAATAAGATTATATTAAATAAACTACAAAGTACAAATAAAAATAATGTTATTCAGCAGGAGTAGAACAATAAAATAAGATACAAAGAATTACTAGAAGAAAAGATGTAGATTTTATCGACAATTGCAAAAAATGTTCCGATTCGTATAAAAAAATTTCACTTTTCTAAAAAGTTATAAAATTATCTATAAAATTATCTATAAATTCTGAAAAATTTTGAGAGAGCTTTTATGATTAGAGCGATATTACAATTGTCGAAATAAAATCGAAATAAATGTCGATTTCGATCTTTGAACGAAAATATTCAAAATATAAGATTACGTAATCACAAATTTATATCAAAAATATTTAAAATGTATCAAACTCTCATTGCACTCTCTACATACGTAATTTTTTATCACTCAAAAATGTTGAAATTTCGATACAAGTTTCGAATCGACAATTTTTTCATTGTAACGATGTCGGAGGAACTATTTCTGACTGGGTAAATTGTATATACCATACATCGTGTATATATATAAGTAAAGTACTTACATACCTAACAAAAAATAAAATATACTTTCAAAAACGTAATTAATACTCTTGAAATCTTATTTTTAAGCTCATTCATATTCATACCATTTATTTTTAAACAAATTTTACTTTATTCTACCATATTTGTATCTTTGTTGCTGTTCTTCTTTAATTTATTTATTACAAAATCATTGGCTCTCTCTCCCTCTGCGTTCAGCAGAATATTTACTTTGCAATTATTGGAAGTTATCTTAGCGCTAATTAAATTATATTTTAAGATCTAGAGGAATAGTCTTATTTCAGCAGACATTCATAAAACGGTTGCATTCTACTGAACGCACTCATTATTATATATGTACAATTTCAATTTTACACTTTTTGAACCCGGTTCTACATTAGTTGTAAGCTGATCGGAAGTTTGTTGCGACAGCCAATCTGAAGCTTATATTTTGAAATTAATACTTCATATTGGCTGTCGCAACAAACTTATGATCGGCTTGCAACTTAATAATATGGAAGCTTTTTGACTCCTGCACACAGACCGCGGCAACGCTTACCACGCAGCGGAAGTTATCGCATTAACTAATAATTCTATGTCTTAAGTCTCACCATGCAAAACTTCTAGAAATTATGTAATATTATTATACTTCCGCACGGCAAAAATTGAATTGAGTTCAACTTTTGTCGCGCGGTGAAAATTATATATCTATTACTTCCGAGCAAGTGAGATATTGACTATCATGCCAACTTCCGTCGTACGGCAACCGTTACTGCATTTTGTGTGCAAGAGCCATTATTGAGTGCTTTCCATTTAATGACACAAGTCAACATAAGCATTGTCCTATCCTTCTTGACATTCAGAGCGTGACAAAGATAAAACAGTACTTGTGTCGACTTGCGTCATCGGCTTGCAACTAATGTAAAACCGACTTTACAATGACTTTATTGGATTTATATGTCCTAAGTTCAGTGAAACTACATTAGTTCTACATTAGTTGCAAGCTGATTGCAAGTTTGTTACGACAGCCAATATGAAGCGTTGATTTCAAAATACAAGCTTCAGATTGGCTATCGCAACAAACTTGCGATCGGCTTGCAATAATATAGAACCGGCTTAATGAGAGTTGAAACAACAAACTGGAAGAACGCCATTGCTAGAACCTCGTTTATACACTCACACATTCAAAGTACACAAACTCATATTTTCACTACATGTACACGGTACGTGCATACGAACACATGTTTTCACTAATCCATCGTCTAGGTCCATCGCACGAACCTAGGACCAATCCCGAGGCGAATCTGTTTTGATTTGACTCTCATTACAGTGATTCTAGAATCCAATCGCTACCTGTGATCCACGTGCTCTCCACCGTCGCATATTTAGCAGACAAATTTAAGATTTCTCATTTTTTTAAATTGGAATAATTTGGGAATAGTTTAAGAAAATTTAGGAAAACATTCTCATAATTTAGGAAATAATAATTTATTTATAATCAATGAAAATTAATCGTGCGTATAGTTAGCAGAAATATGTAACATTTTTCATTTTTTTTTATTGCAAAATCTTGGAAATAATTTGGGAAAGTTTAGGAAAACAGTCTCATAATTTTGGACATAATAATTATTACATAAATTTAATAAAAATAAAAATTAGTCACTATTGTACGGTATCATTTTCTATATTATCAACTGTATACTTGCACTTTATTTTGACGCGCAGATTATAATTTACACAAAAATCCAAATAATCCAGTTATTTCCAATTATAATAAATCAAAAATAGTTAATCAATATAAGCAAAAATTAATACTTTTGTTCATATTGATGACTTATTTTTGATAAAATTAATCTATTTCGAAATTTAAGATTATACTTTGGAAAAATGACAAATAAACTTATTAATCTAACATTGTCATAAAAATAACAATATTTAACTAAAATAATTATTTTTACTGACTTTATTTTTCATTTTATATAATTGTAAATAACGTTGTAAATAATTGTAAATAACAATTCAAAAGTCTTCTTGAAGAATCATTATCTCTATCCATGTATCTGTTAAGAACAGTCTATTAAATCCATTTACAATGACAATAATTAGAAAATCTAGTACTAAAAATTAGACATTATATTTTATAGAAATTTAGACTTAAAGAGAGAGATTTAGAGATATAGAGATTTAAACTTAGAGAGAAAGAGAGAGAGAGAGAGAGAGAGAGAGAGAGAGAGAGAGAGAATAATATTTATCAATAGTAAATTAGAGAAGAAAAAGTGAGAGAATTGTTGATATAAATATGAGTGATGGTGATGATAGAATGGGACATCCAGGTTTTATTAGATAAAGGAGATTCTTGAGATTGACCTGATAACTAGCAAAAGAAGAAAACCCATAAGAACTTCAACAGAAATCTAAAATTATTCATTCTATAATTCTTGGATCAATAACTTTAATCAATATAAAAGTAGTACTAGAATTTTTAATGTAGTAATTTTTTTTTTTTAAATACATAATATGTGTTATAATATTACAGATTATATAAATAAATTATACATTAATATAAAAATGCTGTTTTCTACAGAAATAATCTTTCTACGGAAATTTTTTACAATATTTTAGGTGTACAAGATTCGATTATAATTTTACATTAAATATGTTTAGTCAAACTAGAAATGTAACTATAACTAATTAAGATATAAATAAATAATACATGATGCTTGCCATTTCAAAAAGTGATCCATACAAGTTTGGGAAGCTCTTTTAGAAAAATATAGTGCATAAACACACACACACACACACACACACACACACACACACACACACACAGAGCTATAATTCAACTATAACTTAAAACATTAGCTTGCATTGCAATTATAAATATTTATATAAAGTAGCCTTTTAATATGCATTAATCCAATGTAGTACGAATGATTGAATTCACCATTAACTTTCTTGATATTCTAAATTATTCTAGATATCTATATCAGAAATATATAGAAATACATATTGCTCAGTAAGTGTATTATATATATAAATATTATCTGATATAATTGAGAATTTTTCATTAAAATGTGCATTTATTCTTAAGGTGAATGTATAAATAATAGCGAAACACAAAACAAATTTTCTGAAAATAATAGAAACTTTTTATATATGTTTCAAATAAGTGAATAAAACAAGATAATAAACAATATCTATATACCTATATCTATTATTTCCCAAATTATGTTTTCCTAAACTTTCCCAAATTGTACTCAAACTTTTAAATATAAATTAAATATATAAAAAAAAAAAATAAAAAATGTTATACATTTTTGCTAACTATACGCATGATTAATTTTCATTGATTATAAATAAATTATTATTTCCTAAATTATGAGAATGTTTTCCTAAATTTTTCCAAATTATTCCAATTAAAAAAATGAGAAATCTTAAATTTGTCTGCTAAATATACGACGATGTATTCTCCGGGTTAATTTGAAGCAATTTGCGATACGAACAAACCTGGATTGATCCTTTGGGGGTGCGTTCTAAAACTTGACTCTGTCAACTTCGAGTCTTTTATCTTTATTCAACATTCGGTGACCGACAAGAATAAAATAATACTCGAATTGACAGAGTTGAATTTTGGAACGCAAAATGCCTTATTGTACCTTGTATGCCTTATTTAACGATGATTGCGCAGATATTTTATATAGTAAAAAAACTGCGCAACGACACAATATCGACAGTGGTTGTATTCCTATTTGCTGATTCTCAATACAGTATTCAGTAACCGTCATGTTATGTTATTGGGAAAAGTGTTCCTTTTCTCTAATAAAAAGTTGCAATAAAAATATAACCTAAATTCGCGCTTCGGAGAAGCGTTTTCTTAGAGATGTTTATTTATTTATGAATGTTACAATTAAGCTGAGAGATATTGTGTTTTTATATTTGTTTTCATTTTGTTATATATTTTAATTAGATGATGTTGTTATTAATCATTTCCATTGTTAGTGGCTGATTTCTTGTAAATCATGAAAAATTTTTTGTCAGTCATTTTTATCTATTATTATTCTTTATTATAATTATTAGTATAATTTATTATTTCTTTAATATTTAATGTCCATAATTTTGTATTTTCTAATGACATGTTTTATTTTTTTATATATTTCTTTTTCTCTTCTTTCTTCAAATATTATAAAGGG